ATTAAATTTTTGGTGATAAAGGTTAGTTCTAAGAATTAAGATATTATGTAAAAGAGAATGGAGATATGATTTTACTATTTAAAGTAAAAAAAATGTACTTTTGAAATACTGAGGATCTTTGATCGATACTTTAAAGAATTGAGATTCTATAAAAAATCATTTTGAAAAGTATTACAAATTATCGAAGTAAAGAAATGTAATGAGTTTTTAACTTTAAGAGGAGAATAGTGAATGTCAAAATTATTAAAGGCTGATCCAAATATAGTAATCCTCACTAAAAAAAAAAAGATTAAAAATGTCTTAAAAGTAAAAAAGAAAAGAAAAAGAAAAAAAAAGACAGACAAAGAAAGAAAAGAAAAGTATATATGAAAGTGAGGAGAAGCTTAAAGAAATGCCTAATTAAAAATTGGTTTCATTTGAATTATTTTAAAGAAAGAGACTTTATTACAGTTCTGAGCTTTTATTTTCTTACAGTATTAGTTTACCTTTACTAGTAGAGTTCTCTCAACTTCTAGCTGTTGTTTTTTCTGAGGCTCCTATGTTTTTCAAATTATAATTAATTTTTGAAAAAGATAGAAAATTGGAATTCTTAGAATTGATTATAAAATATTCATTTGCCTTATTTCTAGCATGAATTATTAAGGTTTTCTTAAAGTCATAACTAACACATTTATAGGACAAAACTATAAAGATCTTTAATGAAACACACTACCACATGTTAACATATTTTTCAAAAGAAATAAGTTACATGAGGATAAGTAACAATTAAGTTTGGGGAATTTTGACATGCCTAAAATATGTTACTTTTATTTGCACATTTATTACCTTTTTTTAATGATATTGCGCTTTAATGAAAGATATTTTTGATGTTTTTGGTTGTATGTACACTAAATGGAGCAAATGGAATGACAATAGAGCAATTTGGAGTCAAAAGAAGTAAAAAGACCAATGTTGGGCACCAGGATTTGGCGCCTAGGTGTTAGAGGCGGTTATTTAGAAGATTCAATGAATTTGGACGAATTTTAAAAGAGTGCTTGAAGAAACTCTTGAGGATTTTGGGAGCTCTATTTAAAGAGACTTTTGGAGATTCAAAGAGGAGTTCTTTTATAGAGATAAAAGAGATATTTTAGAGAGAAGGGGAGTCTCCTTAGAGAGTAGAAAGTCTTGGAGGTTTTTATAGATTTGGAGGAGAAGAAGAGAAGTGGAATATATCTTCTTCATTATAGTTCTAGGTGAGATTAGAGTGAAATTGTAAGGAGAGAGAGAGTGATTCAAAGGAACTAGAACAATTGCTTGGGAAGGAGTTTAAGATAAGTTGTGTACTTTGTTTATTTTACTTAGTCTTGTTTTGTAAACTTATATGTATTTATAAATTCATGTGTTTTCATTTTTTCCCTATGAGATTTGAGTGGTTTCCTTGAGTTTTCTCCCTGCAATGAGAAATAATTATGTGTAAGAATGAAGTTTCGTAGAGATTCTTTTAATTCCATAAATTTTGATGATTCTAACTTTATGCTTAATTTACTTATCGATATGACCCATTGATTTGTTAAAATCTATTGTGAAACATAGTGGCCTGTTAAAAACTATGCTTCCACAACAAAGTAAGAATCACATTTAGTCTCATGGATGAGAATGTAGTCCATGGGGTTAAGTGCAAATAAATAGGGAAATAAGTTTTGATGGTCGTAGAATTGAAGATTTTAGGATAACAGACTAAAATCCCAAATTTGGTCCAGATGCTTAGAAACTAAAACGAGATTGTTAGCCTTCGAGTGAAAGATAATTGGGAACTCCAGAGTGAGAGCTAGTAACTTCTCAGCCTAATCAGGCGTTTAAAGAACTAAACTATGGATTAAACAATGTTCTTTATGCACTCGAGAGAGGGTAAAGAATAGATATGCTCCTATTTGACACAATACATTAATTATATTTAAAATTATTTTATTCCTACACTGATTATAAACTCATTGCAAGGATAAGGATGTTTTATACAAATTTGAACTCTTCTATACATTGTTATTTTAAATTTTCTTAAGTGGTAACTTTACATTTTAGCTTTTTTGCATTATCTTGCGTTTACATTTCTAAATTTTCTTAGCATACTTAGCATTCCTTTTAATTCATTAGGATTAGGTAATTAAATTTTTTTTTATCATTTTCTATATAATTTAACTACAGTTTAAAGAATATTTTACTAAAGTAATCCTATAAAAGTTTTGTCTATCCCTATGAGATTGATACTTAGGACTTCATATTACTTGAAATGATACGTATACTTGCGTAGTACCCCTAGTGTGTAAAACAATTTATCAACTTAATATAATATTTAATTTTGCACACTAGCCGCTAAAAATATAAATTGGGTCAAGTTTTTTGCCATCTTTTAGAAGTTAAACTACCGCGTAATTGTGGGTCGGACAATAAATGAGATAACTCATGCTACCATTTTCTATAAGTAGAGTCTTTTATTTTTCTTTTATGATGTATTTGATAGACTCCTAGGATCAAGTCTGTAACAGAAATAAGGTATGAGCATGAGTTCTGAGGCGTTTGGTGCGCAAACCACGTGACTGAGACTAGGAGCAGTGGCTCATGTCCATCCCAGTGATACCTTCATGTTCTTATGATTCTGATTTGCTTACCCTTTTTCTATTTTCTGATGAAAAATATAATCTAGGCTCTCCTAAGGACCCTAAAATTCTATATGTTCTACAAAATCTTAATAATAAAAAATTAAGATTAGTTAAAATTTAGGGTTAAATTATTTTTGATTTTTCAAAATCTGCACTTTACTTTTCTGCATGACGTTCGAACCGAATTTAAAATGACTTGCATCCATGGCTATATACCCAAACATGTTTAATAGGACTTTCACGCCATAGGATTGTGTTAAAAAACTTCATCATGTGCATATTCTTGAGGACAAGTCCCCGCGCTTCTCCATACCTGACTAAGCCAACATAAATTTTTAACTGAGAGGCTGTCTAGTATGACTAGGGTGTTAGAAGCATCTCTAACCTAGACAGGGTATAATTTTTGTGTGTGGAGCATTTCTAGCTTTGTATTTTAACATTATTTTCTCTTCTTTCCAGCGGCAGCTATGCCCTTTTTTTCTTGGCGAGCGTAAACCCCATCTCTTTGAGCTCTACCTGTTTAAGTTCATAGAAACTAGAGTTTCCTTCGTGGACTTTAGGGCTATGGAGACTTCCTTTGACAAAGAAATTCATAGATTGTTGATAAGGAGCCTCCGGTTGTGTTAGGTTGACTACTTTTACAACCAAGTAGACATAAGGTCTGCATAGCTTGGGATGACGAATCTGTGTTCTTCTGACCTTGTAACCTCTATCTTTTTTAGGGAATCTTTTCCTTCTTGTTGACACCTCTCTTGAGCCATGCCGATTCCTTTAACAAATCATTATTATAGTCTCGTGGGCCCTGCATGCCTAGGCGTCGCCGCCCGTAGTGGTTACGGTGATTCACCCTCTGCCCATTGGCCCGACATAGATGTCAAAAAACATCAAATTTTTTTCCTTGAGATGCCTTAAATCCATTGGTTTCCTAAAAAAACTGGATTTCATAAAATTTTGTAAGTAAGCCCCGTTTTATTGCAAGTTTTCTTAAGTATCCCACAATATGTAATTAGCAAAAGGAATATTTTTATTTAGGAACCAAGAACAAGTATTTATACTTGATTCTTTGATTTTGGGTTGCTTTCATAAGGTCTTCTTTGCAGATATGTCTCCAAGATATTTTTGATTAGATCTAGTTTTGAACGTATGCTTTGGGGCTATCCACGCAAAGTTCTCTTTATGAAAGTTCTCAACGTTCTTTCTCTTGTTTGTCTATTGTCTGTCGTATATCCCTCATTTCGGTTCCACTCCCCTTCGAATCATTCATTTTGTCTGAGAGGGAGATTTACTCGAACAAGAGAATAATACGACGATTATAACTCGACAAGATGGCGACTCCTTGGAAATAAAAGACAGAAAAAGAAGAAAAATAGTCCTTTATTGGATAAATGACACCCTATATATAGGTTTCAGGGATATGTAGTACTATTACATATTTATCTTGTTTTAATAGGGATATTGTAAGTTATTATTACACATTTTCATACTTGTAATTGACTCTAGGGTCCTTTCATATTCATAACTGACATTCACACAATTTTATATTCATAACTGCTTGACGAGAGACATTTAATGACTCGTTAATCTTGTCATTCGATTGGTTGAAAGTCTTTGATCGGCCAACATACATTCAGTCGACTGAAAGGTCATCGACCAAACTTCTCAATGGAATCCTGAGTAAAGACCCTACTGTTGTTAGGGTGAACTTGAGTTGTTAGGCAGAGGGTGTATCACCATAATCTGACAGACAAATCTCTTTGGGCAAAGAGCTTTCTAAGAGGACAAGAAAGATGTTTCGTTGGGTGCCTTTTGGCCATCTTTATTAAGATTTCCGAAATCAACTAAGGGAGTTGGCCATGAACGACTGCCCATCAGATTAAATATCTCTATTCATTCGTTCGGCTGTGCCTCCGCTCCATTGACTCCGAGCTTCCACAGGAGGAAACGACGCTTGACATTTCCGTCTTTTCACTATCCCGACACACTATCATTTGGTACTCATAAGAGAGACTCATTAAATTTCATATTTTTGATATACCATATCATACTAATTCGGAATGCCAAAAGATTTTACAGTTTGTATAAATAATTTATATCAACATATTTTCTCTCTTCAAATTATCTAAATATAATTGGAGATAGTTATCCAATCCAACAAAAAATATGTAGATATCCAAAGTACCAAAAATAGGCCTTCAAAAAAAAGTTGGTTTTTCTTTAAGATTTCTTAAACTCAAATTTCTTTTTTATTACCAAAAAAAAAAAAAAAAAAAAAAAAAAAAGATGATTTGTTTGCATAAATTTTTCCGTATCTGTTTTTTTTTTTCAAACCGGCTGGGAAGAAGTCTTCACTCTGCAAATCTTATAAAAGCAAGGTAAAAACTCATTCCGAAAGTCAGGAGAAATCCATACCATCCAATGGCGATAAACGACTCTTCTTCTTCTCCCCCTCCGGCGAAACTTGTCACTAACGGCAAACCCGACCGCCGGCCGGAAGCCTTCGAAGGAAATGTGACTTCCTTCGTTGTCCTGTCCTCCATTGTAGCGGCCTTCGGAGGGATCCTCTTCGGCTACGACATCGGAATATCGGGTACACCCAACATCTCAGCGAATTTAATTTGCCCTATTATCTTCTTCAATTGAATCCGATTGACGAGTTTTGACAGGCGGAGTGACGGCGACGGCCTCATTTCTGAAACGGTTCTTCCCCCATGTGTATCATCAGATGCAGACGGACAAGCACGTCAGCAATTACTGCAAATTCAATAGCGAGATTCTGACGACTTTCACGTCCTCGCTCTACATCGCCGGTCTATTGGCATCCCTATTTGCCTCGCGGATTACAGAGAGATACGGCCGCCGGGCGTCGATGCTCGCCGGAGGTGCCCTGTTTCTGGTCGGTTCGGCGGTCGGAGGAGCTGCGATGAATGTGCAGATGCTTATCTTGGCACGGATTTTGCTTGGATCTGGCATCGGTTTCACCAATCAGGTCAGTGAACTGTTCGAACTTGTGCAGCCGATTTTGTTTTATTTATCGGCTTTTAAATCAATATAATTTTTTTTTTTATCCTTGGGAGTGTTCAGTAGATTATTGATAGATGAATTTAGCAAAGAATTTATCTTAAATCCACACAAACACAAAAAACCCTGAAACTTAAACATTACACTTCATTAAACTGAATTTCATCGCGCTCTGTCTGTTTTTCTTCGTGTTTTATCTTCTTCATGATGTAAATCCGTATTTATTTAATTCGAGTCACAGTCGAATTTACGAGTGTGGCTTTAAAATTTTTCTCGATCGGAATGAATTTGATAACTTTAAATTTAATAAATCCTGTTTGACATGACATAAATGGGTGATGCACCCAAACACGAAAAATTATTCCATACGGACGGACACCGCCGATCCTGACCGTAAATCAGGTGATCTAAGATCAGGATGTATTTCGGTGGGTCACACCTAAATTTTTTTTTTAAAACTGAAATATATCCTGACCGTAGATCACCGTGATCTACGGTCAGGATCGGACACCGCATGCAGAGATACATGCGGTGCGGTGTCCGTACGCAATAATTTCTCCCCAAACGCTGCCCTAATGTGCTGGTTGGGAATTTAGTCTTCAATTAAGAGGTTTAAGATTCAACCTGATGTGGGTATATTTATAATTCATTTCGCTTAATTGTTCTAGATAAATAAATTAAGAGATTCATTTTTTATATTTGATAAATCGGAAAGAATGGGCATCTTGGTCTATTCTTCAGCTGACCGCATGAAAATCTTACTGATTAGGATTTCCTTTTTCTCAAGGCTATATATATATATATATATATAAAAAGTAAGAATTGTCAGACGCTATTATCTGAATGTGCCTAACTATTCGAGTACCGCCCTTACTACAACAAACTGACTAGAGAGGGATTCGAACCCGCGACCTAAGGGGGACTTACGACCTTTGAAGAGACTGCTCTACCAAGAAGCCACGACTGGCGGGACACTAGGACACTAGCATTTATATGACACATACTAAGGGATTGTTTGGTTGCGAGTAGGATTTAGTTTAAATAGATTTTTTTAAATCTTATAAATCTGAATTTATGAAATAATGAAAGGGTTAAATCTTGAAAAAAAATATTTAGCCTGCTAATAAGTAAATCCAAATAAATTTGGAGAAAGACAACCTTAATAAGATTTATCATCCCCCAAGCTTTAATTTCTCCAAATCCCATAAATCCCTCATCCAATGTAATTTATTAAATCCCGGATTTAAGGCAAAATGGGGAAAACAATAGAATTTAAGAATCTTTGGGATTTACGTATGCATATTTTGTCGTTTCACATGATTTAGCATAAATCCGATATAAATTCTGCTTAAAAATGTAGAACCTCTTCGTTAAGAGATAAAATTTTCAGTCAGTAACCGAAGACGAAGACGAAGACGACTTCATCTCTTTATCTAATACCCGAACATTAACTTTTTTAAATTAATATCATCCAAAATTTTCATATCATATTAAAAATATTATTACTTTAATTTCTAAAACTGTATGTATGTATAGATAAGTGCAAGGGAAATAAGTAGTTATGCACCACCAAGCATACACATAAAAAGTATTTTTTTAAAAATTATTATTTTTAATATTAGTATATGATAGAGAAATTAAGATTTTATAGAAATAAATATAAAAATTAAAATAGTAAAAATTTAATGATATATAGCAAATCTCCTTTGGTGGTATTTACAACTTTATTATTTATTTTTTTTAATTGCCAAAAATGCAAGAATACTAAAACAGGGATTTTTGTCCCCGCCAAAAATTCAGTGAGCGCAAACTCATTTGATTTCTTTTTACATGTAAAATATGTTTTAAATTTTGTAATATTTTGTTTATTTATCTTAAATGATAAAATGATTTTTTTTTTAATTTTTTTGGAAAAAAAATGATGTAATTCAAGAAATTTACTATAATGTTAATTGTTAAATTCAATCAACTTAATGATAGATCTAACCTAATTTTTTTTGTTATATGATATATATATTCTTAAGTTTAGCCCTTTAATTAAGCCCTAATTAAAATAGAGAAAGTCTTTTATAACAAAATGTACATATTTATTTACCTAGGTTGAAAAATAAATATAATTAAGGGAGCGCAACAACAGCCCTTTCCCAAATGATATATCAAATCACAAGTATAAATAGATTTGTTGTGGATGAATGCACTAAACTTATATCTATTATGCCAACTATTTTTCTTCCCTTATTATCACAGAGAACATTAAATGTTGAGGGAGCATCAAGAAGCATTAAGGTTGGGCAAGGGTCTTATTTATCTCTCATAATAGGATATCACTGAGTATGGACTCCACTTAAATTTTATTTTCAACTAGTAATGTCATTGAGCATGAGACCCTCATAACAGGGCTAGGGCTTGTCACTGGCTGTCGAGTCAAAAACTTGATAGTTTGCTCAAGCACTCCACTTGGGCTTCCCAAGTTGAGGAAAATTTTAACACATTAGTTCGTAGTTGGCACATGCATTAGCTTGGTAAATTCACTTCTCATTTGTATCGAGACAATTTAGATTATCCATATTTATTGGGAGTGTTTTAAACGCCCAAACTGATGTCCCTCTAAGCCTGTTATTTTGATAAATAGAGTTCTCTTCTAGAGACAACATAAGTGAGCATATATACTTTCTTAGCATCTAAGGCGCTCAGAAAATATAATTCACTAACAAGTTAAGAGAACCATATCAGGTTAATTTTGTCTTTTACATCCTACAAAATAGGACAATATTATACAATGTAGTTGTTACCATTCACTTTTGAAGAGAAGCTACAAGCTTTACTATAATAGGAGTTGAATTACATACATAAGCATTGTGGAACCATATTTCAAATGCCTCCCACTATCAGAATTAAATTATATGGCACTATAAGCAGAATTTGAGAATAACACTTCTGAGGAAAAACACCGACTCTCATGATCATGAAATATAAATTTTATTATTCCACTATAATGTAATACATACTAGGTTTTATACAAAAATGTAATAATTGTTATCAATATTGTAACCTTACTCATGCATCATTTTTTAAGTTCTTGCTTTTTCAAAGTTCCTAAGCCTTCACCTTGCAGAGGATAAACATTATTCAACCATTTTTATTGGCCACTTGGTAATGAAAGTTTATCATCCTAATTGTTGATTAATTTTATAAATAAGTGGAAGTAAACCACTTATGATGACGAAGACTAACATTAAGAAAATTGTTTGGAAAAGCATAATTTATCATTTCAATCATTGTATAACGATTATTACTGATAATGAAAATCAAAACAATGAATTTTCTCACATCCTTTTAATTATAACACATTCAACACCTGCATATAACAATATTCTATTATACTGTTAATAGATAGATTGATTGATCGAGGATTTAATTAAACTACATTAAAGAAATTATAAATATACCTCATGAAGGTTAACTAACAAGAAACTAAAGAGCTTCATCATTTTTTTCGGGGCCTACCACCCCTGCATAAGCTGAAATAGATTATATGCCCTATAACCTATGCTTTGGTATAAAAACTATCATCTTAATCAAGATTTATTTTCTAAGCCATTGTAGTTTAGACCTTCAACCCTTGTAGCAATGAAAAAAATTTCATATAACTTATACTTTATCAACAAAATCTCCAATGTCACCCTACTCAAGGTTGCCCTCAATCAATAAAGTGTTTCCTACCATTTTAACTAATGAGTTAAACCTTGACCTATCTTTATTGGAGACTTGGTTCAAAGTAGTCTAAAGCCTAACAAAAATAAACTCCAATGCAATGAGTACTCACCCTTTTGAGACGACATTTATAGTGTCATACATATCATTACTCCAAGAATATTCAAGGACAAGGGTTGAAAAGAACAAAAAGGTTCATGAACCTAAAATATAGAAACTTTTCACATCAATTCTTAGTAACTCATAGCACACCATCTCTTTATCTTTTATTTTCATTGCGAGATTTTGCCTTATATTATCAATTTATTTTATTATTTTATCAAAATTATAATTATCAATTTTTTTTCTTAAAATTTTTTGAGCTCTAATTTCTTTAACATGACTATAATATAACTTTGAACAGTTAATCATATTTATAAAGTAACCAACCCTATCTTTATTTCAAGAAACATGATAACTTCATTGCATTTCATTAAGTTCATGATGGATCCGAGGGTAGAGGTGGAACCAGCTTGATTTTTTATGTTGGGAAAATCACCAAATGCTTATTTTTAAGTACGCAAATTAACTAAAATACCTAATAAAAAATTTATTGTATTTCACAACTTATATAGAGAAATCCAAATTTTGGAGTAGGTAGTTTTTTACTCCGAATGTAACTTGGTTCTACCTCTATCCGAGGTCAATTTGGTTCAACATCTACTTCAAAAATCAATGTCACTAAGTAATACATTCGCCTATAATTTTGAATATGAAACAATTTTTTGGCAATTTTTTTTCCATATTTTTTTTAAATTTAATGTTAATGAATGATACTTTGATAAAAAATTTGAATAATTAAAAAAATGGTCATATGAACTTGACATTTTTTATGTCAATTAGTATTATCAAGTAATATTCTAACATTAACCTCGAATAAATAAAAAACTATTATTAAATTCCTATTGATCTCTTCCACTAGAGTTAATATCATTTAGTAACACTCTTATATATAATCCTGGATGAATAAGAAATTTTCATGAATTTTCTTGTCCTCATTCACACAAATTAATATTATTCGGTAATACCTTAATGTATAACAATATATTGGTTTAAAAGTCTTGGAAAATTACCCTTGATATTTTTTTAATAGGTTAACATTCTTATCTAAGAGTTTAGCCGACGACTTTGGATGAACCAATTTTTTATAAAATTCTCTTTACCTTATTCACAAATGTTAACATCAGCAACACTTTACATAAATTTGAATGAGTT